CACCCAAACCGGTTAATTGAAACACCTAGTTAGGAAAAAAAAATTCACAACAACTGGCAAAGGTTTAAATGTTGTTCTGGATCTTGAAGCTTTTGGATAATTTGAATGTTTTTGAATAATTTAGAATTTTTTTAATGTTTTTGAATAATTTAGAAGCTAGAATAAAGGGAAATATATCGTTACACAAAAATATCAAAGTGAGAAATATTAACACCTAAACTATGAAAACATATTATTTTTATTTTGTAACTGCCAAAAGAACTGAAGGGGATCTGTAAAGCCAGATAATAAGTCTCAGCTAAAATGAGAAAGACTGTTATTAAGTACATTAATTAACTGCAAGTTATTTTATTTATATTTATTTACCTGCTGTCTTCCGAATCAACTTACTGCATCTTTTCACTAATAGGTTATCATCCTATAAATTTACATTTCTGTAACTGCACTTCTAGCATAATTAAGATAGTATTTCATGAAATAAAATGCATGTAACCTATGCTCCCATAAATGTTGTATTCATGTTCTAAACTATCGACTAAATATTTGAGGTTAATGATGCGGAAATTACATATATAATCAATTTTTAAAAGTACAAATTTATTTTAACTTAATATTCACCTAACTATTCGTTTTCAGTACCTCAACTATTTACCAATTATGAGCTTCGAAAGCGTTAAATATGATAAATTCCTTTTAGAGCATAATTTACTATTTCAGATCATTAAATCTTTTCAAACATTACATTATGTGACAATAAATAAATTAAGTATTTTAATTCTATCGGAGGTTGCGTACTATGAATAAACTAGCTGAATAATGAATTGTGTTTCTATAAGCAGCAGTATATAATTAGATCTGTTGCAGTATGTTGCTTTTAATCGCTTTAACAAAAGAAACATTTTAGACTTATATTTTATCTTATAAAATTTTTGTGCACCTTATTCCTGATGGATATAAAAATGTCAATTAAAATATACATAAATTTAATTAACAATAATTAATACATATATCAAATTAAGTATTTTAATTCTATCGGAGGTTGCGTACTATGAATAAACTAGCTGAATAATGAATTGTGTTTCTATAAGCAGCAGTATATAATTAGATCTGTTGCAGTATGTTGCTTTTAATCGCTTTAACAAAAGAAACATTTTAGACTTATATTTTATCTTATAAAATTTTTGTGCACCTTATTCCTGATGGATATAAAAACGTCAATTAAAATATACATATATTTTAACATATTTATTTGAATTACGTAAATTCATTAAATATATGCGATTTCAAAAATAAAATCTTTAGGATATTAAATATATACATCAAGAAATCTGCAAATTACTATCATGTGTTTAGGTTTACTATGAAAACAAATTTTCATTCAGATAAATAATTGACTTCAGAGAAGATATCCAGACCACATATAACCAGATTCAGGCTATAGATATAATATGCATTTTAGATCAGGTAAAAGATATCGAAATGCAAAAGTGGTGTTTATTACTGTTTATAATTAGGGCTGCCAACTTATTTCAAATTTTCTTTCTATTGCAATTAATATGAAAAGAAACATATTTATTATTTATTTCGAAAAATGTATTATAAAATGGTATGCTTAAAATTCCATATTTTATTATGAATGCTAATTATTTTTAACAAGCATTTAAAATGAAGTTTAGCAACCTCAAAATACTTACTTCTAACGGTATAAAAATAACAGGTTATAAATTAACTAGCTCTTAAAAATCTCTTATACGTAAAAAGGGTTCGGAACACAAGTGGCGAACTCTAACGTAAATGCTTTCGTGCAAAATATGCATTCATTAAAAATGTAATAAAAATGAGATGGCCGAAAATTTTTATTTCTACTTATATAAGATAAAAGATTTATTAAATGCTTATGAAAAATTAATCTATCTTGAAAGCTGGGTTAATTGATGGATGCAAACAACAAAAGGGTTATTTACTTCTGAGAAGGGCGTCTTCTTGACATTTTTATAAAGGAAACTTGTATTTGCTTTACACTTGGGGAACAAATTTAAAAACTGTCATGCAAGCAAAGCCTGCACTGAAGCCATTTCGAACTACTACTTTTCAGAGTTCTTATTTTTCGGCAACTTGTGGGCCTACGTTGCAAGACAAAATATTGGGTGGGTGAAAGATTTATCATCTGTAAAAAGAACAGCGGTAAACACGAAAAGTAAAATGCTCGTGGTTTACCATCATTTTCCATTATTATGTGTGGTCTCTTGCTATTTGTCTGGAAGGAATTTTATCTAGCATCAATGAAACTCCTCTATTTGAACTACAAAAAGTTTTATAATGTTGTTTTCTCAGCCTTCATATAACTGAAGGCTGAAGGCGTTCTATTATGCACTAAGACAGTATTTTGTAACAGTATGTTCAAGGGACTATATTGAGTGGAGCCAGCCGCACTTCCCAATCAAAGTCCAATAATTTCTGAATGTTGTTTAAAGGAGCATAAAGTCTGGTGTTATCACTATGTAAAATAATGCGATTAATATGTAAAATTTGCTATTAACAAATGCTGGTCTTCTTTATCAGTTCCCTTCTCAATTTGTCCAACTGTTGATAGTAAAGTTCAGCATTTATCGCCGATTATATCCAAGTAGATTATTCTCTTGACATCCAATTATGCATGTAACAAAATTAGGATGCAATCCTCTCACAAGTTCCACGACTTGAATTTATGATAAATACTCGGTTTCCATTCCCTGTTACAGTTCTTTCCAAAATGACTTACTTCTGTAACAAAAGTAAAGAACATTGATATTGATTTTCTCCTCTGGATGCTTTACAGGATTCATGTACTGAGTATTTATTCATTATATTGAGCCTAAGTATATATACCCCATGTGTTTATTCAATATACAGAGCCTAAGCACCAGCATTTATCGTTCAGCGCTGATCTGAGCATCACCAAATTGTCTCAAGAATACAGACGAATGAATGGAAGATCATCTTTGTTTGTTTTGAATCAACTTTGAATTTTTGCTCCAGAATTTAGTCAGAAACCACTAATGGACACGCAGATTATTGATAAATATGTACACCACGTTTCTTCAGCCTTGAAGTTCCCAAAACAACGACGGCATGTGCTGTCATGAACTACATCTTCTCCATCACTTGACAAACGTTGCAACAAATTATGACAGCAGCACAGATCTAATTCTCACTTAAATACTGTTCGATATACTCCGCAATGCTTGCAATTATATGAAGTTACATATCAAAGTACGTATTAATCATTTTCATATTAGACATAATATTATGAACCTTGTGCAAAACAAGTAGAAAAAGTTTTGTTATTTTTTAATATATGAATGATAAAATTTCAGGTTTTATTTCTAATTATTTCGAATTGCATCTTACCATAGTGGTATCCGCTCTCGGTGTTATACTTAGTATTTTACTATGGCATTAGCACTCTGGGGGAACAAACACACGAGCGTGGCTTTTTCAGAACCCTGAAGGAAGATCGTTCAATACGGTTGGGATTGGCTGTATGTTCCCATTCTTGTGGTATCCTTAAAGGCACGGCTTGACCAGAATTCCGTATAATTCCATTTAGGTGTCAGTAGCGATGCAACAGCTAGTCCCTTGTATATCACAGAACGCTGTGTAATCCCTTCATTGTGGGATGATCACGTATTACTGGCGGGGGCATAGAGCCACACTCCATGGTGGTCTTTGGTCCCCGGCAGTGATGAATCAGTCGAGCAGTTCAATCATGAGTTTGAGAGATCATTGAGTGTCTGTCGCCTGTAAGTATGGAACGGACGGCAGCAGAGCGAATTTCATATGCTCTTGGTGGCGTGATTTGCCAAACAGATCAACCTGCTAAGTTGGGGCGAGTCCTAAGTTGGGGTCGGGTCTGGTTGTGCATCTATCAGAGTTCACGGTACTAGCAGTTAACAAAACTATTTACCATGGTGGTAAAACGAAGAACTATATTTAAGATAATCGGGCATGCCATTTTTCTTGGCAAGCATAGCATTACTTTTAGAATGTTCCTTTCGTTGTGTTCTAGAATCTGAGGATGTCTTTACTGCCTTATCTCATGGAAATCCACTTAGTAAATCTGTTATTTGGACTATAATTTCCTTAAATATGTAATTAAATGGAGCTGTGGTTTATATTCCTTACATATATGCCGCAGTTCTTAGCCATTAAACTTTCAATCATGTAATCTCTTTTTCTAAGTCCTGTATAATTTAATAAATGCATTCCCTGGAATACTTTTATAGTGACTTTAGAAGATTCAGCTTATTTACATGTAACTTTTATTATGAACAAATGAACTTATTTTCTATAAAAAAGAGACGTATCCTATATAAAAATGTAGCGCACCATGACGGCATTTTTGGCAGAATTTACAAATTTATGAACTAGTTAGAACATTAAAAGTTTGTTATTTTGCCCTCTCGTATACATGTTTAATTCAAATTTAATTAAAAATGAAGTTATTCGACTTCTGCTTTGAACTCCTCATATAGTTTCACAAACACACTGTTGTAATAATTACACGATTTTCTTGCTACCTTCAGAGGACTAGAAAGGATCTGCAAAGAATTCCTGCACCAGCATGAGCTACAAGGGACCAAAAGAGTTGCAATTTCAAAAGAGTGGCTGTGAAAAGCTTTCAAACATTTTCTTGTGTGAGATATGTCTATATGTTTAATAAATTTGATTAACTATTTAAAGAAGAAGCCTAGTGAATGAGCACGTGGATTTTTCTTGTAGGCATGGTTCATGATCTCGTACTAAAATAACACAGCTCTTATACAGTTTATTATTCTACCCAATTTTTCTGAATGCATTTTATAATAAGTTGACAACCCTGTAAAGTTAAGGGAATGGTCGTTCAGGCAACTATCTACCTCTAGCGTCTGTAGATGTTAGTTTGGCAAGTGGGCAAAGCTCTCAGTTTAGCAGCGTGCTGAGAATAGGTGAGAGCTCAGAATGAGAAGTCTTATATAAACCTTCGCAGGCTTTGATTTCTAGGTCTCTGACTTGAGCCGGCTTCAGACGGCTTCGTGGTATGAGACGCCATAAAGTTGGAAATCTGGTCAGCACTGGAATACGGAGAAAGGTTAATAAAATTTAATGAATTGGATGTGACGAGCGAAGACTTCCAGATACAAACTGCGTTAAAGAACATCGCTTTAGACTTCAACTTTTATAACAAAAATTACATTTCACTCTTATCATAAAAAATGACTGGCCTATTTTAATTTATTTTTTTATTTGATTTTTACTTTGATGACTTGATGACTTGAATCTTAAATATCAACGAATGCAAGAGTTAATAGTATTACTACGCTATGATTTCTTTCCTTTTAGTAATTTGTGATTAACTATAACTATATTTAGTGCTAAGGTATGAATTAAATACATTTGTAATCTAATTTCTATAAGCAAATTAACATACTGAATAAGATATAACTGAGATTGTATTTCACCTACACCATACATTTAAAACTATATTAAGTCAATTTATCACATACCTAATACCACTAGTCTCCATGGAGGTAAGAATAAAAGGAGACGGACTCCCCCCCCCACTATGGTTGACGCAGTGCTGCTGAGCTATGTTAGCCAAATGAGGTGTGTTTTGCTTACATGCAGATCATGTTGACGGCGGTTTGATGGTACCATGGATAATATTATTAACAACCCCTTTTTTATCCCTTTCAGAAACACCGATGGAAAGTTAAGTACATGGAAATCAGAAACCAGAAGCAATATTTAACGTATTGCACTATTAAAATAAAAGGTGCTTTAATTTGAAATGAACTAAACAGAGCATCAGTTGCAGAGGGACTATGATTTTCTGATTTAAAGATGCCTTAAAAGCTGAAAATCATCTCATATTTGAGAAAATATTTCAGAAAGAAGTTCTGTAAATAGAAAACAAATAACGCGTTATTTTAATGTTAGTAATACAATAAACTTTGATTTAAATTTTTTTATTCGTTAACCGAATGAAATCGAATTACTTTAAAATTTCTTTTAAATGTAATTGGAGAAAACTTGTGAAAATCTTTCATTCAAATTAAAACTGTTCTGGGAAGAGCATTTAGTTCCTAGTTCCGTTCAGAACGAAATGCTGTTTAAAAATGCATTCTTTCACATACTTAGTACTCTCAAATAGTGTAGAAAAAGAAAATATTGCACATTACGTACATTATTTTTATAATTACCACATAATTACAAAGTGTTTACCTCTGATATTGTCAAACCCAATTGATTTTAACGGTAAGTCACTGAATGTTTTGGGCACCAAGAAGAGTGCCTCACTGCTTCAAGGCAGTGCATTTAAAAAAACAGTTCGGGCCTCTCCTCTATTTCCTACCTCCTTGATAGTCTCAAATTCAGATCGCATGAGGGTCAAATGCACGATCTGAAAACATCTGAAGGGCCAGATTATTTTTTTAACAAAATGAAACATTTCACTAGCAAAATAAAAAGTGTTTTAAATAAATTTTAAATTCGCTTAGTTAATATCTATCAAAACATGTATAAATAATAATAATGCAAAGGGAAAAAATTCAAATTTTAAATTTTGTTCTATAAGAAATCTGAAATTTTGTATCTGCAAGAAATTTTGTTGGTTACACATTGCTATTTAAATATTTCGGCAGATAACTGTTAAATTCCTTAACTGATATTTCTTTAAAATAACTCCAACATGTTTAATTAATCATTCAATAACGTTCTTTAATTTAAACTAGAAATAAATAAATTATGAACATTTTTGAAGTTTTGACAATCTACTCTCTTCAGTTTATTTATATTTTTTTTTTCGATATAGTTAAAAGTATATATGTTTGAATGTAAATAATTATAAACTTCTTTACTTTAGTATAACTTGACACTGGATCGTGTTTCGATTCTGATAAAATTTATAGCTTTAGAAAAAAAAAACTAGAAATTATCTTCGGTACGTTTTGTAGATGACTATCAGACAATCGGTTTATTTTGTGTTAAAAAAATTATAAAATAAAACAAACAAAGAGTTATTCTTATTGAAAAAATTCGAAGCTCTTTATTTTTTGACAACTACGAATAAAATTTAATAAAATCTACTTTATCAAATCTTTGAATAAGATAAATAGAGTATTGTACGAGTAATTTAATTAGCTCCATTTATAGATTTTCTGGTTCGGTTATTCATGTTTTGTTTTTAATAGAAATGAAAATAATATGAACTCAGATTTCAAGTAAGTAAATTCTTGAAATCTTTGCAACATCGTATTTTCAAAGAAAAACTCATAATTAAAATGTCTTCGCGGGCCGCATAAAATTGCTACGGAAGCTTCCAGCTGCTGCTTAATGCATCAGTTCTTAAATGGAATAATTGAACTTAAGGAAAGCAAAGGGGGGGGGAGATGGCTCGTTCCTCCCTTCTAAAGCATCTACAAAAATGCTGGTATCTTATATGTGGAGTTGACTTATTTTGGAGCAAATACGATAATTGCATAATTAGCTCAACTTAAAATTAATTAATTAAGTAATTAGTTCAACGTATTGGTGAAATTAGCTCAACATAATTAGCTCCTACTACGTAATTAGCTTATTTATGCAATTAGCTCAACTATAGCTTAAATGTAAATCATAAATCACAACGTAAATTTAAATTTCAGATTTAATATAAATTTAATTCCAAAACGTAATGATGACATTTCTAAAATATAGCATAATACCGATATGTCGATATATACCGATATATGTTTCCAAGATTTTCATATCCGTATCAGTTTCGAAGGCTAAATGTTTTACTGAGATTTACTTTTAATCTTTTTGATAATTGAATACATATGGACCCTTTATTAGAAAGCCTTTATTAAAATTAAATGAAATTATTAAAAAATTTGTATCAATGCTTAAAAGAAAAATTGCGATATTTATTGAAAATTATGATCCATTCAAATGAATAAATTTGTCTTCTTATTTAATTAAAAATGTATTAGTTTGCAACTCTAATACAAACTACATGGTTTTAAGCATTTGAGATGCATTAATATGATGGAAAAATAGACATATATAAACAGTTTAAATTAACTAAATATCTTAGTATGTTAATAATGTCTATACTTTTACACCGATTTTTTTCAGAGAAATCTGGAAGTCTGCGCATCGCACTTTTTTTCCATGTTCATTCGTACAATATTGGAGAATTTTATTACCAGTCACACTCCCTTTAGATCATACAGAAACATTTGAAAGCTGCAATATTATACATAAATATACAATTGTACTTAAGAGCAATACGTAAATTACTTCACTCATTTTTTTATTTATTAAAAGATAATAAATGTGGAAATACTGCAAAGTATTTCATATACGTAACTAGTATTTATCAGCATAACAAAATAAAATATACAACTTTTGATAGACATAGTTGAAAATATTTCGATCTTAATTACTGCATTTCACAAATTTTAATTTGAAATTTATACACGAAGGAAAATAAAATGTTTGAATGCACGCTTTAGGTTCAAACACATGTTCATCAGTAATATGGATAACGTTATTCAGATTGAGGAATAAATTACGGCCTGTCATTTCTTAAATGGCTTCTCTTCTGCAATACTATTTAATTTTAGATTGTCTCTATATTTATATGCATACTCTATCCACAAAGGTTCCTATTCGGGCTTTATTTTCACAATTATTGGTCAAAGATATATGCTTTCAATTACGAAAAATGTTTTAACCCTTTCAGTCCCAGTGCTGCCATTTGGAACCATAACATTTAATATTTTTTTTCTCTCCACCTAAACCTCGCACTGATTTAAAATGAACACTATTATAATTTACTTACATTTCCCGACCGAAATATATTTTTTCGTTACCAGCAGATGGCTCGCTATTGATGATTGAAACGATGTTTGTTTTAATTTTACTTTGTTGAGATAAACATATCAAAAACAATTTCAATTTGGAGACAATTAAAGTGTATTAACAATTATACAATTTTTCACTTAATTACTTAATATTTATAGATAGTATTTTAAACATTTTTAATAAATATTTCTTTTAAAATGTCTGTATTTTTACTTATCGAAAAGTTATGATTCCAAATGTTTTATTTATTTTATTTTATTTAACAATGGCAAAGCACTCAAGGGTTGTCTGCCTAAGGGGAGAGATGCTTTCGTGGAGAGCTTTCTTTATAAGTTACCGATGACAGAAACCAAGGAAAATTTTATGCAACCAGCCCGTTCTCCTGGAATCGAGCCCCCGAGCTAACTACCAGTATTTAGTGACTTTACCACTCGGCCACTGGTGAACTGATTCCATATGACATCAGTGGGAGTTGAGCACAACTCAACATCTCCTGGGTGCTTCCGAGGAGGAAATTTGTTAAAATGTTACACGGATTTGATCTAAGGATGATAAAATCCGAAATGGAGTTGGGAATGAAACTTAATGGATGAAATCAATCTCGAATTATTCTAATTTATTTATTAACCGAAAATAGTCAAAGCAAATGGAAAATTATGTCATATATCTCAAATTTTAAATTAAATACCCCATACGGGAGTCCCACATTTATCTATTTACTTTTTAACGTAGAATAACGTTTCTTTATTTTGGTCTGATGGGATTTGAGGTATGCGCGAATGCTTATATCTTCGAAGCTATATATGTTTTAATCAATTTAATACATCATTAAATGGATGAAAGAGCGCACTAAGCAAGCAGGAACAAACACATACACAAAATTAATTGAGCAATGTCTATACGCATACACTAAAAATATACGAAGCTAAAAAAATGGGAAGATTTACGTATATGCGGTAAACATATGTAAATGTTCACCAGAAATATACGTAAATTTTTGAAATGTACATGTATCATACGTAAAATCTACGAATAAAGCGCGATGATTTACATGAATATACCTAATTTTTACGTATATTGTAACGCACAAATATACGTAAATATCTACTGTTTTTTCCGGACAGTTTATGATATTTTTACTTTCAAGTTTTACGTTTTTTATATGAACAGTCATTCGTATATTGCAAATATTTTTCGCGTGCAATTTACAATGCTGCCTGGGTAATGTCTCAAAAATAGCGAAATTTAGGTGAAATCAAAGTTTCGTACGCATGCGCAACAGCGTGTGAGTGGCAAAGCCATCTAGTACAAAGAATCTCCTTAGAGATTCTTTGTCTAGTAGATGGTAGTTCGTAAACAATCAGGGTGTCCGGGTTGTGTCTGTTGCATTTAATTTTATTTCGCCAAACTAGTGGTGTTTCCGAGCTGATAACTAACCCTAAATCTCTTTTTTAGGCCTGCTTTGTACTTGACCAATAGATGGCGCCACAAGAAGCCTAAATCTCCTTTCCGGACCAGCTTACCAGATAACCAATAGAAGGCAGCACACAAGCTTATCACTTTTCTCTCTAGCACTTAGGAGGTGCATAATCTTTCCCATCATAAATGGGTACGAACTATTTTAGGATCCCTCATTAGGGTACGATAACTAGGTATTGGGAAGGGCCCTCATTAGGGGCGTATACCAATCAGATAGGCATAGGATAGGGATTCGGAGGATACTAGTGGTGTTGCGATTTATAGAAATTTGACGAATTTTACAGATTGTGCACCAATAGAATTTACTGTTAAGCAGCTTGAGAGAATACAGGATTCAGAAGCAGGCGATATTTGTATAGTTGATGTAATTGTTAATGGACAGTCAAGATTTGTTCTAGCATCCGTATATATTCATCTAATTGTTAACGCAAGAGATTTGAAGCTGTTCTGGTTTAGTGTATTGATGAAATATTCTGAGACTACTTTGTTGATCTATGAGTTTATTGTAGATACAAATGTTTCTACTATTATGATGGGAGATTCCAAAGTAGACATCAAACGAAACGAAAAGGCATTTGACTTATTAAACATCTTTTTTATTCACACTGTGGTGCTAAGCAACTAACAGAGCACACTTGTAAATTCATTTATAGATTTAATATTTACTAAAATTATAATTGCAGACATCTTAAATTATGTATCTCATTTCTCATTTCAACGACCGATTTTACATAGGGTCATTTTGAATTAATAAATGTAATAATAATTAAATAAAATAATATATATATTGATTTTATTTGTTTTATAACACCTTCACACTTCCGTTAGTAATCCTACGCATTAAACACCAACGGCTCTTGAAACTAAAAGAGAGAGAGCCTACTGTCAATTTTTAATTTTTTAAGGGAATTAATTTACTAAATATAAACATATAATATTCGGAACATAGTATAAAATGTTAGAATTCGCGAATTTTTATAAAATATTTTTTTTAACTTTAAATCTAGCAAAACTTAATTTTTTTGTCACTTAAAACATTTTCGTAATGGAAGTATAAGTTTCCGACCAACAGTTGTGAAATTAAAGCCGGGTAGATATTTTGTGGATAAGGTGTATATAAATAATATATATCAATATACTGCGCACTTGTTTATAAGCTATACTTGATTTATGTTTTTAACGTTAAAGCAAATAAATGTTTTATCAAATTGAGATATTTCTAGGACTGTATAATCCCAGGCACTAAACGCTAATTGTGAGATGTTATCCGTTACGAATTATCCATTTACCAAAGTTACGTTTTGAAGCTGAAAACGGTATTCATTTTCATTCATTCCAGTTTTACTAGATCCTTAACATAAAAAACTGCCATAAGTGCATAATACAATCTAAAATCATACCTAAATGATATGCAAAATTTGCCATAAAACTCCATTTAACATTAATTTAACGTTATGCATCAATTTCATTTGTTTGACAAACTCTGCAAGTTTAGCTTTCAGTAACAAAACCAGTCTGAAAAATATAACAGAATATTACACATATCTGGAAAGTAATATAAATATGTAGAATGCACACTACATCAACTACTTTTAGAGATGAATATTTGAAAAGGAAATATAATATATCGAAAATACATATAAATACATGAGAATTTCAATAACACTATTGACTTTTCTTCTTATGTATCCTAAGTTCCTCCAAACGCCTTTCTTCGGAAATGTCAGACCACGTTATACTATTATCAATATCCATTACCAAACAATGTCACTGCTGGAAAAGGAAGAGAACGATTACTTACGGATTCTGGCTGGAGTTGGTAGAGGTGATATCACAGCATCCCTGTAGGGAGCATTCGTGATGTCCTCGAAATTGACAATGAACATACATATCACTCCGTCTTCGTTGCTAATGGGGGCTGTCACCTGACTGCACAGGAACTTTGAGCCTAGATATTGATGGACATAAAAAGACACGTTATTGTCACAGAAAGGAGATTCGGTTTCAGCAATTATGAGACATTTTTTCTCTCTATTTATCACAGAAGTCAGTAATATCGTCCGTACATACACCTCTATTTATGTAACGGGAAAGACATTTACGTATATATGGATAACTGGATCAGTTTTGTATTGAAACATGGATTAAATAAAAAAAACAGCAATTTCCTCTTATGTACCGAAAAAGTTTTCAATTTTGAAAGCGGTTTCCATTTGAAAACAGGTAAAGTTCAACCTTATATTGTTGCTGATCTTATAAACTAGCTCTAAATATGCGGATGATATCTCGCAATCATTCTTGGTTTTCAAGTCGCAAACGAATTTCTGAGCTACTTCGTCATTTGAATAACGAAATGTCATTTAAATAAAGGAAATGAAAAAATATGTCACTTAAATAAAGGAAATAAAAATAAAAATAAAAGAACTGAAAACTTTCAGATTTTATATTACGCCAAAAGGAGCGCTTTCTTTAACATTTTGTGTGTTACCTTCATTTATTAAATACCATGTTCTTCGCATTTAAACCATAAAATTCAATTCAACATCAATATCGCAAAATATTTAAAAAGAGTATCTCTTTAGAATTTCCGCTACACAGGCTGGAGATAAATGTTTTTTTCTTCGTACAGTGTGGTCCTTGTTCGCTTTGAAATTGTTGAGTTTCTTAATAAAAGACTTATGCTTTACAAAATATGAAATAACTAATAAACCAAAATCCCTTTTCCAAATTTGGGCTTTCAGACGCCCATATTCGGGCCATATCGTTATTCAAATTCGATAGTCACGTGCGAAAGCATACCCTTTATGCAAATTCTTCATTATTTAATTTCTTTAAATATAATACAGGGCTCTAATATTTGGTGGCAAGAATTTAAAAAGTGATTCGTCGTTTGTTGTGAATCGACGCAAAATTTCAAAACGAAATTAATAGCCCTTCTGGGCAAATTGCTTCTTTGGACTAAAATGGGAGATACAGAAAGTAACGGAGAATATTATTAGGTTAAGTTCCGTAGTCGAAAAATATTAAGTTTGAAGGCGAAAAAAATCATCGAGACTGTAAACTTTTATGAAACATTGATCAAAGAGTAAAGAGAAATGAAATGCTATCAAAACAAATTGCGCAATAGCTTTCCATCTATTGATATTCCTAACATATAATTAATTTCGCCTCCCCCCCCAAAAAAAAACGTAAAAAAAAGGGGTTGTCCTTTCCCTTCTCCGACAGGTCTCCAAGGTGTAAAGTAACGAGAAAGCGACGCTGAACAATAACTTACTCTCACGTCAGTCAGTGTCAGGATGCGGAATAAACCAACATCTTCATCCAACTTTTCTTTGCGCAAAGTTGTACGGAATTTTGTGAAGTCCTCTTTCGTAAATTTAAAGCCTCTCGAGCCTTATAAATGTAGGTGACCAATATATGAGAGTTGCTAAACGCAAACATTTTATTTGATTTATTCCGGCATTTGAGCTTTTCATAGTCTAAATGTAAAATTTCTATCATAAGCTAACGCTAATTAATAACCGAATTCTGAGTACTTTTAAAGATCATACTAATAAATGTCTGCTTCAATCATAGTTATCATATAGCCATAATTCATATATCTTCAGCCATAGTTATAGCTTTAGTTGTGTTCTTTATAAACCATGTTTTGTTTGCGCCATTGTTTAACCTAGAAAACTGCAACAATGTATAAATTATTCAACAAAATTGAACACAAATGGAGCGCAAGAATGTTTTCAATGGGTTGCTTTGGTTGCATGATGTTTAATGGTTAACTCCCTTTTCCAAACTTGCTATTTTATCTTGCAAGAACTGGCTCAAGAGGCTCAAGTTGGCTGTTAAGTGTTCTGATTGTGCAAATCAAATTAAGTTGAGCTTATCCTACTTAAAACACCTCTAAAGAAGCTTTGTGAAGATTCATTGATTTCATTTCGTAGATTTGCTTCTCGGCAAAATTTGAAGTGTTGCCACTTAAGAGAAACAATAGCTCTATTGAGTATTGAATATGCTTTGAAAATGACTTTCGGTGACTAAAATATCTCAAATTTCAATAAAAGTATGTAATAGTAAATATTGGAACTTCGACAAAACCTTGTAGAATCATTAACTTATATTGAAACAGGATATGTGAAAAATAAGAAATGCCCTTGCCGGGGCTCGAACCTGAATTTATCGAATACGCACCAAGTATGCTACCGTTACACCAAGAAGGCATGCTAGAAGGACAGAGAAAGTACCTTATATACTCTCCCGTTTAGTCGCCAAATCCTGTTAGAACCTTTTAGTTCGGGTGCCACTGTAAAGTCATTAGTTTATTTTGAAGCGGGAGACACAAAACTTGAGCAATGCCCTCGCCGGGACTCGAACCTGAACCTCTCGAGTACTCACCTAGTGTGCTACCGTTACACTACGAAGGCATGCTGGAAGGAGGGAGAAGTTACATCAGATTCAATTAACATAGAGGAGCTAAAATGTTGAGGGCTAATTTTTTAAAAACAACCTGCGCGATTTTTACAAAACTTGGCAGTTTGGCATAATTTGAGTCGTAGAATCGAGTTATGGAAAGAGACCGGCATGTCGTTTCAGAAAGGGTCCGATTTGGGGTCAAAATATCTGTGTTTGAACGCTGCTGTATTTACATAAATGTAATATATATCCTGGGTCGCGCTTTCGAGACATGAAGAACTCAAGCTGAGTTTCGTCAATCGGCCCAGTGGAGCGGGAGATATAGAACTACCCCCGCCTTTTTTTTTCACAGTGTGCATTATATATGATTAAAAAACACAATTTTAACAACTTTGCATCTGCGGTTAGGATCTGTGACGGGCATCGTTTTTGGGAATCCGCAGTTTAGCAGGCTTGGCTCATGATAGAAACCGGTGAAGAAATGGAACATTGACAGAAATTAATTCATTCCCACTTTTTTTAACTAACTTTCCTTTTCCTTTCCCATTTAAAAGCATATTAAGAATAAATCTTAACAATTATAGAGATAGAAATACATGATTTATTATAAAAATATATGTATGCAGAGAACTGTGAAATCTGTTTCAAAGAGTCAATTTTAAAAAACTGCCCTTGGGGAGGAATAAAAAGAATATCCCTCATTATTTGAAACAAAATTCGGTATTTCTATTAATTTTCATGTAAGCATCTTTAGCATGTTAAAAATTAAAGGGCAAAACCGAAAGCCAAATAATTTTGCACAGAACAATTCAAATGAGGAAAACATCTACCTTTTTACTTCCTGGTACGAAGTAAAAAGGAAGTATTGTAATCGCGAAAAGTTTCAGGCAGCATATTTCAATGAAAATATCCATTTCGACAGCTTTCGAATGCAATTAACGATGTTTTTTTCATAATATCTGTACGTAAGGACAGAATAAAAGACTCTTTTCCTCCAAAAAAATTATAAAACTGCTTTAAAATGAATTCTGAAGAGAGTTTTCCGTGGTGTCTGAACGAACGTATGTATGTACGTATCTCGCATAACTCAAAAACGGGTAGCCTCAGAACGTTGAAATTTTGTATATAGGACTACTATAGCATGTAGATGTTCACCTCGTATTTTGGCTGCAATCGGCGGCGCCAAACGTATATAAATATATTTATATATATATCCACTCTATTACCCGGCTCAGTGATCTCAGTTTCTTTTACTCTTATATGTTTGTAAACTGTATATTTTTTGCTTTAAAAATGATTGAATTATGTTGTTCTTATCTTCCAGTTAAAATTTTTATGTCATTAGTAAATCTGTATGCAATAGGCTTAGAATTATCAACAATTTTAAAGTTGTTTAAGTGCCGCTATGCCTAATAATTTTTTTGATGGCGGCCATTGCTTGTTTACATTTGAAACAGCAGAGTGTGGATTTGTTGCCAATCTACAGAAACGTAGCTTCGCAACAAGAAAAATAACGCCTTCATTTATTATTGCGAATTAAATCATGCTTAATCCTTTCTCGAATTTTTTCGAGAAAAAGAGTGTTTAAGATATACTTCGTAATTTTTAATACAGATATTTTGAATTTTTATGTATTCTTGCCTTGTCGCGAAATGAGAACTGAATTAATTGAATGAGAAATACTCAATCGTCTGTGAAAAACTTTTTTTTTTTGTTTTGTTTGCTTAATTTCTTTTAGACATCGTTCTAGCTTTATTATAGTACTTGAATAGAACATGTGGCAACGATTAGATAATTCTTTAAATGATATAAATTTTGTGCATTCTGAGTTATAATTTGAACGAAATATAATACTGTTAAGAGAACCTAGCGCCAGTGTGTCGCTATTTTAAACAAATAGAGTAAATTTTAAAGAATGCATTTATTCTGTTGTGGTTTATGCGCTGTCAGCGAAGTAGATTTAATTCAATCCAATAAGTGTAAAAGAAATGCAAGAAAAAATGCGTATAATTTAATATTCCGTACAAGGAAATCATCACAGTACAAGGAAGTACACATCAGATTTTTTCAATAAGTTTAGCCAATATAGTAACACACACTCAGTTCACTCAGAAACGGGTAACATCGCGCCCAAGGCATTAGCGTGCTTGATTTTTTCATAGATAAATCCTTACAACCTTTAGAAAGTTATGACGTAATCAATGTTTGTTTCTGATAGACTTCGCAGATTTGGGAAGTTTTCGTAACTGCTAGAATGGTTTGACGAAGTCAGAATCAATAATTAATAGAGTATTTGAAAAAAAAAAACCAAAAGGCTTAATCTGTTGAACAAACACAACTTGAGTAATTTCAGCATAAATTATATAACCACTTAATATTTTACAATTTTTAAATTAAGTTTCTTTTTTTTTTACACTTTCTAAATTTAAAGAAAATTTCTTCCATTTTTTTTTTTATTTTTACTCTTTCTAAATTCGAAACCATATAGTCGTTAAGTCTGAATTTACTTCTCCGGGAGTTTTTCCTCATTTCAGGCATGTT